TGAAATTAAATGTAAAATACTCTCTATAAAATTGTCATTGCTCAAACAAACCATAATTTTATAGCCTTCAATTCTGTTTGGTTACAGAGTTATCGAACAGAAAATCAGACCTCTCCTGCCACACCCACCTATCACATCCTCTCTTTCACAATTCGTTGATAGTTCTCTTTTACGTTTCATTATACATTACCTAAAACCAATAGAAAGTCAAGGTTTTCATCTATCAAATCACGTATTGTATAACATTGTATTCTGAACAAAATATCGTCAATTTCACTCACACTACAAGATTCGTTCCCATGGGAAAGTTAACGACTAGCTTGGATGAATTGTCGGCTCTTGTTGCATATTTAGAAAGCCAGAAAACTTTTGAGAGGTAAGTGAATTTGTCTACTTTTTGCATGTTATTAGTCTACAATCTTTGTGCATTATTTAATTAAATCAAAATTATTAAGTGCATTACTATCTATAGTATAAAAATTAGGGTACACTCTCTTCGAAAACCAAAAAGCAAGAAAAAAGAAGAGTGAGTAAGTACTTTATTTCTTGTTTTTCATATGTATTCTTTATTTATTACTATAAAAGTAACTAAAATATAAAAATATGGATCTTTTGAAATTATTTATGACTAAATTAGGTAAAATAAGTAAAATAATTAAAATGATTCACAAGACACGCATGCGAGCAACTCGTGGGGAATGTAATTCGATAGCATAACGTGAGCTGCACATTCACCAAGTGATTTACAACTTATAATGGCACAGATAGTAGTTAGACATGATTCAACAGGCAATAAAACAAAAAATTTAATTATACCTTGATGTATACTGTTATGAACTTAGAGCTACTTATGATAAACGAATGTAATTTCATGTTACAATTTGAAGTCATTCTAGAAAAAAAAAGGATAGTTTAGGTTTATTTCAATTTTTGTTTTTGGTGGTTATGAGGTCGATTGAATTGACTGATCCTGTTTTGAGATAGGGTAAAGAAAGTAACAGATAAACTATAAATGCACTTTTGGGACGAGGAAAGTATTTTTAACTCTAAGTTGAAAATTACTTTTCACACGAACTATTCAAAACAAATACTCAATATCTTCATGGACAAATCTCTATTTTATTAAAAGTACTTCACTAAAAATATGATTTTTTGTGTGTGAAACACTTACAATATGAACTGAAAGACTACCAAATTTTGTGAAGATATACACACTATATTGAAAGTTAGAAGTATTAAATCTAAAAAGACTTTAATCGAGTACCGACCACGTGACTGAGCCCATGTTGAGAGAGTTAAATAACATAATTATTAGTCTTTGAAGAAATGAGTAAGAATTTGTCTTCCTGGACACCTCCTGTGGATTTGCAACTGCTCATAAAAAATTAAAGAATACAGTTAATAATTTCAGGAACAAAATAGATGGTGATCTGGACTCTTCCCATAGATCTGCAACTGCTAATTCAATGCTAAATAATAGAATTAGAAACATAACACAGTATAAGAAAAATAGTAATTTTACATAATTAATACTTGAAACCATCATTTCTTGGTGAAACTCCATAATTACAAAATTGAGAAAAACAAAAAATAACTGCACACTTCACAAATATTTCATTTATTATGACCATGGATTCACCATTAAAGGTGTCACCAGATACAAATGATGAAACTATAATCATACTAAATGAAATATTTGTGAAACATGCATTGTCTTTTTTTCCTTAAGTCAGTAAATTTACACTTTATTTAACATTTAAATAGCCAGTGGGTACTACCAGCCAGTTGCTGCCCTCTAGTCAGTAGTATGATTCGTAACCACAAAGAAACATATTGCCAATATTGGCAATTACTTAGATAATTGGAAGAATCAAAAATGGTAAGTAACTGGAAACCCTAATTTCAATTAGTCGATTATATTTGTGAAAATCAATTTAATCATAATTTCAATCACTCAACTGCTGGAATAATCAAAAACAAAAATAATTGGATACATTAATATCAATTTGTTGATTACTTTTGTAACAATCATCGAAACTACGATTAATCAAGTAGTTTATGAGAAACTAATCAATGTAATAGCTGCTCATAGGTAATTGATTATATTTATTAATTGATTAAATCACCCAGCTCTAATAGTAGTGTAACAAAAATATTATTTTGCTTGGAATGCTTAACACCACCTAATTTCACGTAATTAGGGTGTTTAATAAAGAGATAATAGAAACATATGAAAAAATAGACTTATATAGTTTTAATGCTTAAAATGACAAATCTTAAATTAACTCTACAATGGTGATAGGTGTGGACTCACACCAAAATAAAGCTGAAAATAATGTAACTCTTAATTTTAATGGGCTGTAAAGCCAACAGTATAAGGTTTTTTCAAAAATGTGGAACATCATTGCTATGTCAAAATGTTGTACAGAAAACAATAAAGTCACTTCAGTAGGACTCCTCGGTAAATAAACATCTATCTATGAGGATGATAAAAGAGATATTAGAGTTAAAGTCATGAATAAAAGAAATGATATTAATGACAGAGTAAAACTAATGAAATGTACATCTGAAAATAAGAAAGTCAATTGCATTCACCTACAAATCAATGAAAAGAGTGATTTCTGCAATTTACAATTGACTATGTAGCATACAAGTGTAAGTGGAAGTTGCTAATTTATGTTGTAATCTCTTTGTCAGGACACAAAATTAATGTGTTTCTTGTGTCAAGTGCTCCTAAAAATCATGATAGGAATGTAAAAATTTAAAAGGATAGGCATGATTGGTACAAATTGTTTGAGATAACCATTTTATATTTTTAGAAATAATTGTCTTATGCTTCATAAAACAACAGTGTCATTTTTAACCATATAAAGAGGAATTTTCTCTGAATGTAGATCAAGATATCATATTTTGATGCTATGAATTCATGATTTCACAACCTTAAACTAACGCAAATTAAAAAATACTTTCATATAAATGTCAGCTAGTTTCTCAAAATTAATTTCCAATAAATATCTTATGGCAGTTAAAAATTTGGATTTTGATAACTGTGCTTGGATGGCACTAAAAAGTAAAAGGTTGTTTTGCACCTGCTTGTGAATTATGAGACAGTTTGCAAAGTTATAATTTTCCTATACTGAAAATGTATTTCTGATAAGCACAAGATTACACAAGATTAGCTATTCTTGTTCAGTGCTGCCTTCTATATGCAAACATTTTCTTTACACATGCCACAAGCCTTCCACTCCCCCCCCCCCCTCGTTAGAATTAGTATACAAGACATATTCCAGAGGAGGGTAGTAAGAGTGAGACTAACATTAGATTCGGGAGCCTCCCCCCAAAGAGATAACAAGGAGACCAACAACTGGTGATCCAAAAATGGATATTCTACCTGATGGTAAGCAAGATCATACTGATCAGATGCTCTCAGGGGACACAGCATACTGATCCCTTCACCTAACTGGGAAAGTGATCTGCATGTACTCAAATATTATGAGAGGGAGGAAGTATCAAAAATGGTTGAGAAGAATGCTCATGCAACAAATAAGGATGAGGGGAATAAAAAATAGGGGAAAGTAACAAAATATCACAAAACCTGAGATACAGAAGGTGTTTGGGTGCCTTACAAACTCTTCGATGATCTTAGTTTCCAACATGTGAACGTTGCTTTGTCTCTTCTGCCTCATAATTAACATGAACCATTTTTGGTCAGAATTGTCACCAGTGATAAAAAATGGATTCTCCATGCAAATATTAAACGCCAAAAACAATGGCTCAGTCCTAGACAAAAACCACTTCCGACCTCAAAACCTGGACTCCATACACAGGAGTAATTCATTTTGAACTCCTCAATCCACAGCAAATTGTCAATGCAGAGATCTATAGTCAGCAACTGGAACATTTAAATCAAGCCCTTCATCAGAATCCCCTTTCCTTGCCAATTGGAAAGGTGTCCTTCTCCATGACAATGCACATCCACATGTTTTTTGCTTAAAAACCACGTGATTTCTTTAATTAGGGCATTAACAATTTGTTTGTAAGATAGAAAAGCATCATCAATAAGAATAAAGACTATTTCATTTAATAAATGTTTTGTTTTGATATATAAGTTGTTTGGGTTTTTTTCATCTAAAAAAGCGGCAATAATTTCTTGACAACTTAATACTAATTTCAACAAGGGGGAGTGCAATATTTGTAGCATGCGTGAAGAAAATGTTCGCATATAGAGGGTAGCACTGAACGAGAATAGCTAATCTTGTGAGAGAGGTAAGTGCCATATCAGAATGAATAATGTCACAAAGTGGCAAGAGAAGAAAGGTAGATAAGCTTGGTAGATGATCATTTGATGGATTAGCTACATTCCTATTCAGCATTATAACCCTATAATTACAATCTCAATATTAGTATTTTGAGTAAACTTCCATTGCATTCTTGTTGATATCTTACATATATTTTTGTCATATAATCATAAAGTGACCCAAAACAAAACTATAAATCAGGATGCCTTTTCGAGCTTTCAAAGCACAAACAGTCAAATAGTCACACACAAAATTAAATTCACGTTATTTGTTATAATGTATATTAATGCATGTTTTTTAAAGCCAGTGATAAAAAATTGCTTCCATATTATAGATGTCTAAACTGGCATCTACGTCCTGGTATTAATACAAGTACTTAAAATTTATTCTGTAATTAATCAGCTTAGATCAAAGTTAGTTTTAAAATTAACTGCATTACTGAATTATCTTTACATATATTCTAATAAGTTTTAGAAAACAATTCAGATTGAAACATGTATAGTCATTTCTACATGCATGTATGCTACTATGACTTTCTGGATTGTTAAAGTAAATCTATCTATATTATATTTTCTCAATTTAGTTTTCTTTAAATTTAATGTTCTTCATTCTGTCTACTATTTTTGTGAATGAGTAAAAAAGCATTTCATTTTATTTTAAAATCACATAAATGTAAGCATGTTTATAAGGATATTTCCAAACCTCTACTGTCACCTTTTCTTTTCCCTCTACCTCAAATCTTAGTTCTGATTCTGCATCTAGTTTAAATTCTTGAACTTTCTGTAAAAAAAGTCAAATCTAATTAGTATGTTCAAACAAAAAAAAACAGAAATTCAATATACAGTCACTAAACCTAATTTTTTCTTTAATATTTGTTATCATTATATATATTTAATTTCGATATATTAATTATTCCAATTAACAGCAATTATGTTTCTAACATTTACAGTCAATTTCTTTAGTATGATTTTTATATTCTTTCAGCTAGCTATTATGCTATACAAGTAATGTTGATTAAACTGAAAAGGAACACTACATCTTAAATATCTAACACAACTGTGGAACAGAAAATATGAACAATTCATCTAGGATGTAAAATGTGGAATAACGAAACTTAAATGTATTATGCCAGTACAACTTTGATAAAAAATAGTTAATGATATGAATGCATATATCTATATTAGTCTAAGTTACAATGTGATTAACTTAAAATAACACACACACATACACATAGTAAATTAGATTTTCAGGTTCAAATTCTATTAACAGTTAGGAAAAACAAATTTTTTCTTTATTTGAGGACATTTTATTCACAGAAATTTCTAAACTTCACAGTGAATAACCTGCAGTAGCTGAATCAGAGATACCTAATTTGAGGATTTACAGATATTTGGCAAATAACCAGTATACTTCAAAAAGTGTAAGAGTCAAATCTGACATTTAATAACTTTCTTTTATTCAGAGCACCAAATAATGATCAACAAAAAGTAAACAATTTTATAGAATAACATTATTTTATGTTAGGAAAACTAAATAAAGCATCACAAGAATTATATAGAGGAATATCTGCTCTTTTTATTGGTTATAAACATGTCCATTAGCCATTTAAAACTAATTAGCAAACAAACATAAACATCAGAGAAAGAGAGAGGAGGAGCTTCTTTGATAGGTTTGACAAATCTATTGATATCTCTGCAAATCAAGAATGTAGGATGTTCAAACTTTAGATTTTTACTTTTAATTATATTTTAATTTACATTTCTATTTGGCTGGAAACTGTAGAAGCCTATTACTGAAATTATGAGTTTCTGAAATTGAGAAATCAGAGCTCAAACCATATATAGCACTGCAAAATGCAGACTGATAATTTTTAAAATATGTCCTTTTGAAATTTAAGAATTTAAAACTTACATACTATAAATGTTTGAAATATAGACTACATTTTCATTCTAAGTTTACTGACAAACATTGATAATAGTTATTTAATAAAATTTAACACTGTAAATGGTAGAGACATGTACAAAAGATTCAGGCCCATATGCTTGGGGTTAATTGGAGCATATTCTGTACTTTTGAAATCTTGTGTCCTCTGACTCTTTTACCTTAGAACACAACTCAAATAAATGAAAAGCCATTATCCTATCAATCCTCTATCTAACCTCATACAATAACTACTATCACCTCTTATTATTCTATCCTCAAGAAAAAATAAGTAACAGATATTAACTTATCTTTATATTATCCTCCCTTCTTCAAAATTATTCTAGAGAAGAAGTTGGAGGGTTTTTTTGGGTAGAGTTGCAGAGGTGGAAAGGGAGAAATGTAAATTGCTTGAAGTGGTGGCGGGGCTTAATAAAGAACTAAAGCTTCTGCACACAATGGGTACAGTTGACAAACAGGATTTCAAAGGAGCTAAGAAAGAAAATAGGGCTAGAAGCTTGGAAAATAATGCATTTAGGGGGCAAGGATGGGCTTCGACTTAGGTTAAGCAACCAGTTAGAAGCACTTGCTAGTGATGAGGGGGAGCAGGTAGGGGAAACAGATGGGATTACAAGGGATGATAGTGTAAAGGATAGAGAACTTATAGTTGTAGGTGACTCTCTAGTTAGGCATGTAAATAGAGTAGCATGTGGAGTAAATAGGAGCAAAAGAATATGCTTATGCTATCCATGAGCAGGAGTACATGATATAACTGAGAGAACCAGAGAGATAGTTAAGAGTGCTAGTAGCAATGCAGTCTTTGTGGTACAGGTGAGGGCTAATGATGTAAGGAAAGATGGATCTGAGGAACTTATTAATAAGTATAAAACACTGATAAGGACATTTAAAGAAAGGGGTCACAGCTTGATTTTGTTAGGGATATTGCCAAGAATAAATTGTGGGGATGAGATACTAAGTAGGTCACTAAGATTGAATGGCAGGCATAGATTGATATGTAGGAATCAGCAAATAGGCTAGTTGGATTTGTGGAATAATTTTAAGGGGAAAGTTAATATTTTTGGAATGGATGGCTTACACTTAAACAAGGCAGGGGCTAGCATGTTAGCAAGGGCTATTAACTCAGCTGTAGTGGTACATTTAAACTAGGGCTAGAAAAAGATGAGGGCTATGATATTAGTAAAATAGGAAATATAATTGACAGGAAAACATGTACAACAGGCATAAAACATAAACGTATTTTAAAATCTATAACTAACTGTTACTATTGTAATGCTAAGAGTATTAGAAATAAAACTGATGAGTTCTAAGCAGTTATGGAAACTTAGGAGTTTGATATTATGGGTATCACTGAGACTTCGTTGGATTTGAACAATTTTGATGAGAGAAGGAGGAGGGGTAGCTTTATATGTGAGGAGAGAATTGCATCCTGTTAAGTTAACCCTATCGAGACAAATAGGGGTCAGAGGGCATGTCATCATGTTTGTAGATTTACATTCAACATTTTATTTAGTTATCATTTTGTAAATGTATGTCAATAAGTTTAGTACCAAATTGTAGATTATAATTTAAAACTAAATATTAAAAAAAGGCTAAATATTGATTTTTGTGTGTCATGTAGTACGTGGCCTACTGGGTTTGGTCAGACTACATTTTGTGATGCCCACAATATGTCTATAGTTTCACAGAAATTAGAAACTCAAATGTTCAATATTGGCAAGCTAGTATATAAAATAAAAAACCTCATACTTTTTCTATTTGCTGAGATACCATGATATTTAGCAAACCCACCATATTTGCTCTGCCCACCATTTCATCATTTGAGAAGACTTAACATATTTTTCGGTGTATAAGACGCACTTTTTTACCCCAAAATGTTATGTCAAAAACTGCTTGCGTCCTATACACTGAAGGTATGAATAATATA